TGGAGGGGGGCATCGGTCGTTTGGGGCGAGAAATCGCAGGGTCGGGGGCCCCGAGAACAGAGCCCAGAGGCTTGGGGATGCCGTGGCCAGGTGGGGGGCATGGAGGCGGGTATCGGTCGATTCGCGAGAAATCATGTCATGGGGTCGGGGGCCCCAAGAACAGCGCCCAGAGGCCTGGGGATGCCGTGGCCAGGTGGGGGGCATGGAGGGGGGTATCGGTTGATTTTGAGCGGGAAATCGCGGGGTCGGGGGTCCCAAGAACAGAGCACAGAGGCCTGGGGATGCCGTGGCCAGGTGGGGGGCATGGAGGGTAGTATCGGTCGATTTTGACGGCGAGAAATCGCGGGGTCGGGGGGGCCCAAGAACAGAGCCCAGAGGCTTGGGGATTCCGTGGCCACGCGGGGGGCATGGAAGTGGGTATCGGGTGATTTGGGGCGAGAAATCGCGGGGTCGGGAATCCGAAGAGCAGAGCCCAGAGGCCCGGGGATGCCGTGGCCAGGTGGGAGGCATAAAGGAGGGTATCGGTCAATTTGGGGCGAGAAATTGTAAGTCGGGGGTCCCAAGAACAGAGCCCAGAGGCCCGGGGATGCCGTGGCCTGTGGTGGTGGTGGTGGTGGTGGTAGTGGTGGTGGTGGTGGTGGTGATGGTGGTGGTGCTGGTGCTGGTGGTGGTGGTGGTGGTGCTGGTGGTGGTGGTGTTGGTACTGGTGCTGGTGCTGGTGGTATTTGTGGTGGTGGTGGTGGTGGTGGTGGTGGCGGTGCGGCGCGGTGGTGGCGGGCGGATGGGCGCGCGAGAAAAAGGCCCGCGCTGGGGCGAGAACGCCATCCTGAACGACGGAGGCCAAACACCGATCCGAAAATGAGGCCCACGCTGCAGCGGGAGCACGATTCGGAACGATTCGGGAGCAGAAATGAGGCCGGCGCCTCAACGAGAGCAGCATTTTGGGAAAAAATGACGCCGGCGCCTCAGCGAGAGTCGTTTCCCGGGATTTCCCGGGCATCCTGTGTGTAAAAAAACAGTACGCGGAGGGTGCGCGGCCATCACCGGACGCCATCAGGGGAAGAGGGAGAGTATTTTCATATTGAGTAATTGTGGAAGGGAAAGCGGGAGGGGGAGGAGGTGGGAGGGGCAAGCTAGGTGCGCTCGCGTCATAGTTGTCGTTATACCCCTCCCTCCCCTTACCATGGCGCAGACCTCTTCTTTATGCGCACAGGCTGATGTCTTGCAAGGCAATGATCCCGAGAGGGTTTGCGATGCATGGTAAAGCACGGCATAGCATGGTGTAGAAGAGCGCGGCAGAGCAGAGCATGTCATAGCATGGCTTGGCATTGCGTAGTGTATCATTGCATCACAAAGCGTATCATCGCAAGGCATGGCATCGCACAGCGGAACACAACGCAACATCGGTTTGCATGCCATGGCATGGCACCGGATGCCTTGGAAGGTAAATGGCCCGTGTACGAAAGGAGAAAGCCTGTCCGGAATCCCGGCCCCATGTCCTGCGCAACCGTGCCTGCCCGATGTGGGCGCTTTCGAATGCCAAGTGCCGTCTGGTAGTGATACTGTAATACTGTAAGGCCCCCCCCCCCTCCTTTCGACGCGCTGCCTTGCGTTCCCCGAGCCCCCTTCCAAGTCTCCCTGGGTTCCCCGGACAGCTCTGCACAAGGCGTGGCGGATGGCCCGAAGACTTTAGGAAACTCCAGGAAACGCACAGAAATTGCCGACGGCGACAACGACGCAGACGACGACGGCGGCGGCGGCGGGGAAAGCTGCGGCGGGCGAGGAAGGATGTCAGGAAATAGTACGGCGGGCTGCCAGGCTCGATGGTCTGGCTTCCTTGAACAATCGGCTCACACTGAGCCCTCCTCCTCCTCCTCCTCCTCCTCCTCCTTCTCCCGCCTCCTCCTCCTCCTCATCCTTTTCCTCCTCCTCCTCCTCCTCTCCTCTCCTTCCTTTCCCTCCTCCTCCTCCTCCTCCTCCTCCTCCTCCTACCTCCTCCTCCTCCTCCTCCTCCTCCTCCTCCTCCTCCTCCTCCTCCTCCTCCTCCTCCTCTGCTAGCTGGCCTGGCCCGAGCACGCCGCGACCGGGCGCCCGGCTTCGGGGCAGCGCCTCTGTGCGGCACGCGTGTGCTCCCCATGGGCTCCTCCGAGAGCCACGGCTCGGCGGAGCCCGACTTCGCCCTGCCGCAGCAGCAGATCGTGCGCGGGGGGCAGGCGCTGAGAGTAGCTCGAAGGGGCGAAGGCGGCCTGAGCAAGCGCGTCGGTCGTTGAAAGTACGGGTCGACCCGTGCACGTGGTTCAATTCTACGTATTCGAAAGTGATTTGATCTGTTTGGGGGGCCAGGATCCTTCCATGTCTCATTATTCTGTCCTGGGCCTCGTCCTGGCCACCAGGGGGGCCAGGAACAATTGGAAACGAGCACAATTAGAAATGAGCTCGATCAGAAATGAACGACGTGTACGGTCGACCCGTATCATAAGGATGCGCGGTCAGGATGCAAGGGCCTTGGACGCCCATTTCGAAGCATTTCGAGCGGGGCGCGGCCCGCGAGAGTGGCCAAGGAGACCGAGCAGACAAGGATGCAAGGGTGCCCTTAGGGAAACTGCCCATCCTGGATATGCGAGTTTACTGCAGGTAGTTCTGGATCTCCAGATCCCAATCTGTGTCGAGCGCCTTCCTACTTCAAGGGTCGATGTGCTTTTGCTGTGCTCTGTTATTCTCTGGGAGGGCCTGACCCCAATCTACTTCAACCCCCTCCTCCTCCTCCTCCTCCTCCTGCTCCTGCTCCTCCTCCTCTTGCTCCTCCTCCTCCTCCTCCTCCGGTTTACTTCATGCTTTTACCCACTTACTTCTTCTGACCGACGCGTAAACTCTCGGAGCGCAGCGCGGATTTCTTCGATCTGTGCCAGGAGGCCTCCCGTGGCGACGCCGGTGGCGCCGCCCCTGGCGCGCTCTAGCGCGCCAGGGAGGGGGCTGCAGTGCAGACCTAAGAAATCTGCGCGGAGCTCCGAAAGTTGACACATGGTTCATTTCTAATTTTTCGAGAGTTCTTTGATTTTTTTGGGGGCCAGGATCCTTTCATTTCTAATTGTTCTATCCTGGGCCTCTTCCTGGCCACTAGGGGGCCAGGAACAAGCAGAAACGAGCACAATTAGAAATGGGCACGATTAGAAATGAACGACGTGTATGTTGATGTGCTTCACCAATCAGTGCTTACACCGAAGGGGTCCTAGCGGAAGTTGAGAGATTTGGCGAACGGGTCCCGCCGACTTTGGTGGCCGGCCGGGTTCCTGGGTTCCAGGTTCCGGGTTCCTGGGTTCTTGCTTATTGGTTCTGGCTGATTTCGATGGGCGAGTGCCGGGGTTCCCGGATCTCCTTATCGATCAAATCATCCACTGATTGGGTTTTTCTTTGTTGTTATGCCGCTGTCTCTTCTTCCAGTAGCGCCCCACGGCGCCGTGGCCCATGCCAAGCACAGCTCACAGGCTCAGACGTCTGCAGCCATGGGCGTCCGCCCCCCTCGCCGACGTCGTCGTCGTGGTCGTCGTCGCCTTCGCTCGCCACGGCTCCCAGCGTCCTGGCCATCCTCCCCTCTCACCCCCGTCCGCCTCCGTCCTTGTCGCCCTCCTCTTCCTGCATCTCCTTCCCCCTCCTTCTCCTGCAAATCGTTTTACGTCAGACTAACGTGAGGAACTAGCCTATCGCGTTTTTGCAGGTGCTGAAAAACAGGTTATCCTGCATATCCTTCCTCCTCCTTGTCTTCCTGCTTGTCCCCGTCGCCGGCGAGCGAAGCGCGGCGAAGCAGTGACGAGCAGCGGTTGACAGGGATTTGCAGATGGGGCGAGGAGGAGGAGACGGGAGACAGGAGCACGATGGGCAGAAGCAGACGGAGGAGCATGATCACGCTCCATGCAGCCGTGCCGCACAAGTCAGCGGGCCCGCTTGGTTCCGCCCCAAACCTCAAGCCCAAGAGAGTCAAGTCTGGCACAGTCCTTGACGCTTCGCGTATCCCCACCAATTCGGACGGCGTTTGGCACTTCCGTTACGCTTACGATCAGAAAGCATCCCCACCAGCCCATCCAAACACAAGTCGCCCAGTGAGTTGCCCTGAGAAGGAACGTGCAACAGAAGTCGCCCAGTGAGTTGCGTGCCATCCAGGCGTGAATCACATCCCCTTTTCGCGGATCTGTTCGAAGGGGGAAGGAGGAGGCGCGAGGAGGAGGAGGGGGAGGAGGAGGAGGAGGAGGAGGAGGAGGAGGAGAAGGAGGAGGAGGAGGAGGAGGAGGCGGAGGGGAGGAGGTGTGGGTGAGGAGGGGGTCTGGAGGGGTAGTGGAGGGGAGTAGGGGGCTCGGGAGGAGGGGAGGAGGAGGAGGAGGAGGAAGAGGGGGGGAGGGAGGGGGGATCGAAGAAGACAACAAACAACTGCATAAACAGAAACTTGCAGATCTCCACGCGGATTTCTTGGATCTGCGCTGGACCCACCTGGCGGCGCCTCCGGACCCGCCTCTGGCGCGCTCCGCGAGCAAGGGGGGGTGGTCAGCGCCGATCCAAGAAGTCCAGATCCGATCATCGGATCTCTAAAAGCTGCTGTTTCTGCAGTTGTTATTTCCTGTGGAGGGGGCGGGGTGGAGTGGGGGAGTGGAGGGCGGGAGAGGGGGGAGGGGGAGGGGGAATCCTCTCCCCGAGGGGGGAAGGAGGGGGTTAGCAGCACAAGCTCTCTGCACCACTCGCGCCCAGAGGGCTGGTGGGACTGGATCTGTTGGGAGCATTCGTTTAAGGAATGTGCCCAGGAGGCTTCAGACCCTGGAGGATCCCCAATCTGATGAGAGCGGCGCTGATATCTATGGCCAATCCACGGTCGAAGTTCCACCAGTTTCCAGACCCTGGATACCTTATCCAACGGTTCCTTATCCAGTGCCCCCATCGTATGCTAGGGGGGTAGCCGCCGAGCGGCCCAGACGCCAGAGCCCGTGGACGGCACGACCAGCGGGGTGAAGTTGCCGGTCGTGTGGGACAAGGGCACGCTGCGCGTGGATCGTGTCGGCGACCCCCGCGCGGGCACCTGGAGGCTCTCCTCAAGGAGCAGGCACTTGCGCAGACATAGACGTTCGGACCTCCGCGCGGCGTCCTCGGCTCGGCGCTGCCCTCCCCGCCCCCCCCCCCTACCTGCGGCGCGGAGCGCGCCAGGGGCGGCGCCGAAAAGGCGCCTCCAGGGGGGCCCGAGCGCCGACGCAAGAGGCTCCGAAAGTTTATGTTCGCGCCTTTGTGTTGTTCCTCGACGTCCGTGGAGTTCGCCGCGGCGGTGCCGTGCACGCTCGAGGCCTGGCGGCGTCCACGAGGGGGGGGCGGCGCGAGGAGGGGGCAGCCTCCTGAGAAGGCAGGGGGGGGCTTCTTAGGAGGCAGGGGTCGGGCCTGTCCCTCTACAGGAGGACTATTCAGAAATAGTCCAGAAATAATCGGGGGACGATTTTCTTACATGTTTTTAACATGTTTTGGCTATGCATTGGACCATCTTTAATCTGCCGTCCAACATCTGCCTGTCGGGGGACATGCCCGACCTAATCGTAGATGCCTTGGGCCCTTCTATAAGGCCCCTGTCTTCTAAGAAGACCACCACGATCCAACGCAGCGGAAACAAAACCGTATGCCTAAAGATCACGACCAGAGCCCTAGACTTAAGTCGGGCCTGCCCCTCTACAGGGGGAATATTCAAAAATATTGAAACATGTTATGGGGACTATTTTTTGAGTCTGTTGGGGCATCTTTTGAATATTTGTTGAGTGTCCTTTATTTTTTGTTCAAACCCCCCCTGTAGGGGGACAGGCCCGACCTAACCCTAGACCCTAGACCCCATATTTTTCGCGGCAGCTTTCGAGCCAGGTCGATCCGCGCGGGTCCTGGGGACCGAAATTGGGCGAGAACGCTTGCGCTGAAGCAGGGTGACCTTCCTGGTGTGGGCCCAGTGGGGCCCCGCCGATCGCTGGACGCGACGCGTCAGCTGCGGCCTCGACGCGCCCGGGTCTGGCCACCCCGCGTCCCCCGTTGGGCCGCGCACCAAAGGTCACGCTTGCCCAGGGTCGCTCTGGCGTGCAACCGTCAGGAGGGGAAAAACACACACAGTCACAATTCATTGTCGAGTCCTTAGAAAATATGAGAAAACATGTGAAGTGGGGGGGGGAAGACGAAAATCCAAAACATGTGGGGAAATATTAGGGATCCTGTTATTTGTGTGTGTGTGTGTGTGTGTGTGTGTGTGTGTGTGTGTTTGCGTGTCCTTGGGCCCCTTTCAACCGAAACGCCACGATCTCAGGGCTCTCACGAGGCCGACCCCTCGCGCCACCACCTTGGGGAGGCGCCGCCGAGAGGTCCACGTGCGGTGCCGCGAGAGCCAGGAGGCCGGATGCGTGGCATTCCAGCGCCTCGACGCGGCCGGGCCGCCGTCCGTGGCGCAGGCTTGGGGGGGCGCGTGACGGGAGGGGCGATACATGTGCGGAAGTCGATCAATAGAGAGGAAGCATGCTGCCAAGTAATTTCCAGATGTATAAACCATGTTTCAAATCAGTTTTAAGTTGTTAACCACATGCTTGAAGCATGTTTAAACATGTTTTACACATGTTAAACACATTTTAAATTCAAAGATAGGACTGCTATGGTGTCCATTGTCGTGGCATCCACAACGAGGGCGGCAGCAAAGAGGCCCCCTGGGCCCCTCAAGGGGCCCTTTGGGGTCCAGAGGGGGGCCTTTTTTTAATCAGGGCCCGGGAACGGGAAGGCCGCCTTTCTTTCTCTCTCTCTCTCTCTCTCTCTCTCTCTCCCCCCCCATATATCGCCCAGCATGGCCAGACTTTCATGGTGTCTCAGTTTTGCTATGGGTGCCTCCTTGGGTTGTCCTGGTACCAGTTGTGACGGCTCCCGAGGTCGTCGGTTCGTCTTTCCGCTTCGCCCCCTCCTACGAGAACAACCTATACACACATACATGGATATACACATCTACACAGATTCATACGTGTATATATATAGAGAGAGAGAGAGAGAGACAAAAAAAGAGAGAGAGAGAGAGAGAGAGAGATCGCACCCCATGAATTCGCGCCCAACAGGCGCTCGGCCCAGGCACGCACACGGCGGTCCTGAGCGAGGAGGCCGTCGGGCAGGGGCCAGGGAGGGGGGGTCACCACACCGTGGGGGTCGCCAGCTCATCCCACTGGAAGCCAAGGCTCCAGGGTCACAGCTCGAGGGGGTCTCTTTGGACGCCTGGGGTCGTGCGGGAAAACTCTGGAGGTCTTGTTGTGGGGCCTCACATTCGGGCATTTATTGAATCGCTTCGCTCATTCCGCCGGCTCGTATTGGTGCACGGCTGTCGAGTGCGCGTGTGATCGTTGTCAATGGGGTGCTGCTGGGTCATTGTTTTTTCCCGGAAAGGGCATAGGCCCAGGGTTCTCTTTTAGTATGTAAACAATGTCCCCCCGTGCCCAACTTGAAGGAGGCCGGCGGATTCTTTCCCTGATAAATATCGAGGTCGAAGGAGGCCGGCGGATTAAAATTTGAGGATGTCTCAGGCGAAACGCTTGTTTTTGAAATCCCGATCGATAAATCACAGGGTGCGGGCCATTTTTTCGTGCGTTGAGGATGTCTCGAGCGAAACGCTTGCTCCGCAGAGTTTGCCGAGGATGTCTCGAGCGAAACGCTGGTTTTGCAGAGCCGACCGCGACGCGCAAAAAGCGCCCCGCGCGCAGGAATTCCGAGGATGTCTCGCGCGTGCCGCGTCCCGCGCGCAGGAATTTCGAGTATGTCTCGACTAATTCGTTTGTTTTTCTAGGATTTCCTTGAATTTTGGCAGGATGTCTCGAGCGAAATTCACGACCCCACCCTAGCACGACCACACCCCAGCACGACCACACCCCAGCACGACCACCCCCGAGCACGACCCCACCCCAGCACGACCCCACCCCAGCACTACCACGCCCCAGCACGACCACACCCCAGCACGACCCCACCCCAGCACGACGCCCACCCCAGCAAGACCACACCCCAGCACGACCACACCCCAGCACGACCTCACCACAGCACGACCACACCCCAGCTCGACCACGCCCCAGCACGACCACGCCCCAGCACGACCACGCCCCAGCACGATCACCCCCCAGCACGACCACCCCCCCAGCACGACCACCCCCCAGCACGACCACACCCCAGCACGACCACACCCCAGCACGACCACTCCCCAGCACAACCACACCCCAGCACGACCACACCCCAGCACGACCACACCCCAGCACCCCTGGTTGAGTGGTTGCCTGTTCGTGGGGTGTCTCGTGGAATGTTTCACGGGGTGTCTCGTGGAATGTTTCGTGAGGTGTCTCGTGGAATGTTTCGTGAGGTGTCTCGTGGGATGTTTCGCAGGGTGTCCCGTGGGATGTTTCGTGAGGTGTCGCCCAGTTGGGTATCATGAAAACGTGACCATGCTGCACATGTCTATATCCCTTTCCGGGTTCGTGGGTCCATCATGTTGTTTATGGATGGTTGGCTTTGGGTGATTTCGCAGGCGGGAACCATTCTTTGCCCGCCTGAACCTTGTGCTTCGGAAGGTGGCGGCTCGTGAATACGATCGCAGGGAACAAGACAACATTCTGCAGCTTCCGTTTTGCATTCTTCGGGCCCCTTGTCGCTTGTTGGGGCCTCTTAGGAGCCTCTTTGGGCGTCCAGGAGGCCTATTGGAGCGGAAGGCTCGGAGTTTCGGTTCGTGGTCTCCATTTTGGGCCTCTCTTGGGGTCCTCTTGGGGTCCTTTTGGACCGTCTTGGGCGCCTCTTGGGCTGTCGTGGGGCTCTCTTGGACGGTCGTGGGCCTCTCTTGGAGGCCTCTTGGGCCGTTTTGGGGAGGTCTTGGAAGCTTCTTGGGCCGTCTTGGAGCGTCGGAAAGGCAAAAAGGCGAGGAAGCCAAAAACCTTGAAAAACCCAATGGAAATCAATGGTTTGGGCGCTCTGAGGCTTCGTGGACGTTCATTGGGATCTCGTTGGATGCCTCTCGAGGGCTTCTTGGAGACTCTCGGGAGTCGTTGTCGAGCCTCTTGGGCCCCTTGTCGCCTCTTGGGGCCTCTTTGGGGCCTCTTGGAGCCTCCAGGAGGCCTCTTGGAGCGGAAGGCTCGGATTTTCGGTTCGTGGTCTCCATCTTGGTCTTGGGGTCCTCTTGGGGTCCTTTTGGACCATCTTGGGCGCCTCTTGGGTTGTCGTGGGGCCTTCTTGGGCGGTCTTGGGGCTCTCTTGGAGACCTCTTGGGTCGTCTTGGGGTGGTCTTGGAGGCTTCTTGGGCCGTCTTGGAGCGTCGGAAACGCGAAAAGGCGAGGAAGCCAAAAACCTTGAAACACCCAATGGAAATCAATGATGTTGGCCTCTTGGGGCTCTCTTGGAAAGGGTCGGGGCTCTCTTGGGACGTCTTGGAAGCTTGTTGGGCCGTCTTGAGGCCGTGTTGGGCGTCTTGGGCCGATCGTTCGGTGATTCGGAACCCTCTTGGACCGTCTTGGAAGCCTGTTGGGGCCCTCTTGGCGCGCTCCGGGGAGCGTGAAAGGCCGCACCCAGGAGGAAAACCATCTCTGACCTGAGTTTGCCGGGGGTGTCCCGGGACCTTCCCGGGGTACTTCCCGGCCGGGGACCCCCAGGGGCCGCTCCGCGCACTCGAAGTATAGAGTTATTGTTAACCAGTTACCGGAGATCTGAGCACGCCTCTGGCCCGTTTGGCCGGCGAATTCACGACGGGAGGCTTCTACCTATCCGTAAGGGCTTCGCCCCATGCCGCCGGCCCTCTGTCTCAGAAATGTAACAAATCCCTCGATCTGCGTGAGGGGTGCCGCCGAATTTCAGAAATGTGGCACATCCCTTATATTTTTGCACCCTGACCCCGCCGATCTGCGTGAGGGGTGTCGCCGAATTTCGGAAATGTGGCAAATCCCATGTGTTCTTGGACTCTGACCCTGCCGATCTGCGTAAGGAGTGCCGCCGAATTCAAAAAACCCTGACCACGCCGATCTGCGTGAGGGGTGCCACCGAATTTCAGAAATGTGGCAAATCCTTTCTGTTTGTGCACCCTGACCCCGCCGATCTGCGTGAGGGGTGCCACCGAATTTCAGAAATGTAGTAAATCCCTGATGTTTTTGCACCCTGACCCCGCCGATCTGCATGAGGGGTGCCAGCAAATTTCAGAAATGTGGCAAATCCCTTGTGTTTTTTGACCCTGACCCTGCCGATCTGTGGAGGGGTGCCACCGAATTTTAGAAATGTGGCAAATCCCATGTGTTTTTGGACCCTGTTCCCGCCGATCTGCGTGAGGGGTGTCAATGTTGATTCACCCCAGCAATTCAGAGCATACGATTTGGGCGTGGTAAAAGTGCTCGTTTTGGGCCTCCCCCCCTCGCGCGGTCCATCAACAAGGAACAGTAAACAGCAAGAAGACAACAAGGAATTGTAAGCAGCAGGAAGCAGAACTGTAAGAGTGAAAACTGGAAGCTGCAACTGGTACAGGAAACTGCGAAGCTTCGTCCTACAGCCTGGTGGCCCCACAAGGGGGCCGGCGGATTCTGGGTCTCTGGGGGCCCTTACCGGGCCTCGGCAAACCTAAAGAAACAATTCAGGGTGAAAGACCGGTCCCGGGGAATGGATCGAGACCTCCTGAGCCGACGTTCTCCTTCATTATTCAAGACCTGCCGCCCCAGCCTTCCGCCCCCTTTTCGAAGTTCTCGATGTGGGTCTCCTTGCACTGCGTAAGGTTTCCATGAGTTCCGATGCATTCTTCCGCGCCTTCCGCGGAGGTCGGAAGGTATGGAAGGTGGAGGTGTGGGCTGGCCCAGAAGAGCCCCGCAGGGGACGGAACGCCAGCGCGATGCCGACAAAAGCACCCTGGGGGTCGTGCTGGAAGGCTCTGGAAGTGTTCTTGTTGTGGGGCCCAAGTCTCCGAGGGAGCGGCGCTTCTTTGAGGAAGTGCCGCGCCCCCCCCGGTGGTGACCCGCCTTCGGCCTTGCCCCGAGGCCGTCAACCTCGTGAGGTGGCCACTCCACAGGTGCTCGCAGCCCAATCGCGGAGGAGGGCCAGAGTAGCAGGGAAGCGGATTAGCAGTGTTTGGCCGTGGTCGCATGGCCCAAGCTTTGCCAGGCACCGTGCCCGATCTATAGGGTTCGACACGTGGTTTTGAACCCGCTACAAAGAACCTCTCGTTCACCATTCGCTTTACATGTCTAGTTCCTCCTTCTCCTCCTTGCCCTCCTCGTCTTCTTCCTCCGCCTCCTCTTCGTGAGCCTCTTCCTCCTCCTGTTCCTCCTCCCCGCCTGCTTTGCATCATCTTCATGCTCGCTAGAAAACGGTCGGAGCAGGTATTGGAAGTACTCCAAGCAAGAGCCAGATGTCGTCCCGGTGGCGCTTTCGCTTCGGTGCGCCGACGGCACACAGTCCATCCTGCACGCCTTCTTGGATCCGGTGACGACCGAGGAGATGCAGAGCGATGGCTCTGGCCTCCGCGCCGCCATCCGGATGCACAAGGTGGTGGTGCAGGGCGCGGAGTACCTGGTGGAGGAGATCTACGGGATCGCGGAGGTGGGCAGGGAAAGCGCCCACGACGAGTCCGGGGTGGGCGAGCCCTGCGTGATCTGCCTGAGCGAGCCCCGCACCACCGCACTCCTGCCGTGCCGGCACCTGAGCACCTGCGAGGAGTGCGCGAAGCAGCTCAAGGTGCGCGCGGACAGGTGCCCGATCTGCCGCGCGGAGGTGAAGGGCCTGCAGGCGTTCGACATGAAGTGACACGGGCAGGGCCGTTGCCAGAAGGAGGAGCGGAGCGGGAGGGGAAGGAGGGAAGTCGAGGGTGAGGGCGCCCACGACGTTGAGAAAAGCACTACCTCAGAGGTCTGTGGAGAGAGAGTGCCGGAGGAGAGAGTGGGAGGGGAGGAGGGAGGGAGGGAGAGGGTGGCTAGGGGGAGGAAGGATACGGGAGGGAGGGCGGAGGTCCATCTTTCCTTCTCAGAATCACCCCCCCCTGCCTCTCTCTCCCTCCTCTTCCCTCCTCCTCCCTCCAGTCCTTCACTCACTTCTCGGATGCACCCTCTCGGTGTCCTCTTGTACTTGATCATGGTCCTGTCCGTAACTATCTAGGTTCTGGCTCGCCAGTGGCGCCTTGCGTGTGCTAGATTTCACGGAACGCCGCGCCCTCATCCCCGTCAGGGGAGGCGACAGCGTTGCGCGGCCAGCCGCGGCTGCTTTCGAGCGGCCCCGCCTCGATTGCGCGAAGCAGCCACCGATGCAAAATGCTTTCGTTCCTGCCTTCGTCCCCGTGCCTCCTCCGCCTCCTCCTCCTCCATTCTCCTCCTCATCAGCCCCCAGCCTCATCCCTCCTTCCGCCCCTGCCCTTGCGTTTGCCTGAGGGCTCGTTGTGAGTCCGGCGTCGTCCGAGTCTCATGACAGGGGTCTCGGGAGCTCCCTGGAGAGGCCTCTTAGGCCGTCTTAAGGTCATCTTAAGCCGTCTTGGGGCTTTCTTGGGCCCTCTTGGCGCCGTCTTGGTTGCCTCTTGGGCCGTGTTGGGGCCATCTTGGGCCGTCTTGGGGCTCTCCTGGGCCGTCTCGTGGCGCTTTTGGGACCGCTTGGTGCCTTCTTGGGCGCCTCTTCGGCCATCTTGTGGCCATCTTGGGCCGCTCTTGGGCCGTATCGGGGCCATCTTGGGGCCCTGTTGGGCCTTCTTGGGGCAATCTTGGTGGCCTCTTGGGCAGTGTTGGACGCTGTGAAACCTGAAAAGTTGCACATGCGAGAAAATACGCTTCCCCGAGGGAATCGGACAATTGTTGCTTCTTGGGGCCTTCTAGGGGGGCCTCTTGAGGCACTCTTGGGGCTTCTTGGCGGCTTCTACCTCCATCTGGAGGCCATCGTGACCGACAAGGGGCGATCTTGCGGCGACTGGAGGCCCTCTTGGACTGTCTCGGGGACGTCTTGGAGCCCTGTTGGTGCGCTCCTGGGGCGATCTGGGGAGTGGGCCGAGACTTGGCCAGGGTACGTCTCGTCTTGGGGCCCCCAGGGGCCGCCCCGCGCGCGCGAACTAGAAATACTGTCAACCAGTTACCGGAGAACTTAGCACACCTCTGGCCCTTTGGGCTGGCGACTTTGGTGTATGACACGCTGATTGTAGCCGTTTGTCTCAATGTGGTCTGAGGGCGTTAACCGAGAAGGGGATTGCGACGCATCCACGTATGCGTATTATAGTGCTGTGGGTGCCAGGGCATAAGCTTTAGACCCCCTTCCCACGGAAAAGACGCCAGCATAGTGGAGCCATGTCCTGAGTTGTTCATATGTGTTGTACACTGGTGGCAGTGAGGCAGCGCTGTGGCGCGGCGGATTACAATTCGCGACATATGAAAATTTCAACATCCAGCTTCATTGTGGCCTGCTCTGCTCTATGCCTCGATCTGCACGCAGCCCGAAGTGTCGCTTGTGCTTGGCCTGCCCTGATCCCGAAATCAGACATGCCGGGGTCGCGCAGGGCTCACTTGAACGCACGGGGGCGATCCCAGGTACGCTCAACCATGTGTACGCACTCCTCTCAGAGGCCACAGCGCCACGGACACGTACGATGAACATGAAAGCCCAATGTGTTGTGGCCGCGCAGGGTTCATTCGAATGGACGGGGGTGGTGCCAGGTACGCTCAACCATGTGCACGTACACCTCTGGAGGCCACAGCGCCATCGATACGTTTTAATTATTCCAAAATCTTTGAGTTTTTGGGGGGCAAGATCCTTGCATTTCTAATGATTCTATCCTGGGCCTCTTCCTGGCCACTAGGGGGCCAGGAACAGGTAGAAACCAGCACAATTAGAAACGAACACGATGAGAAATGAACGACATGTACTCCTCTGGAGACCACAGATCCATGGACACGTCAGATGAGCATCGAAGCTCACTGTGCGAAACATCTGGGGGCGAGCACGGGCGCAGGGGGATACACTGCACATGCTTGCCTGACCGTATCATTCGTTACCCTCCCGCTCGTCCTACTGGCCCATGCCTGTTCCCCTCGGAGAAGAGGTGCGGAGGACGGCTCAAGCCGCGCAGGTCGAGCAGCATTCTCGACCTCGCTCGGCCTCTTTCGGCCCGCTCACCCCCCGCAGGCGCCGCTGCTGCTGCGGGCGAGGGTGGGGTCGAACAGACTTGCGAAGTCCCAGCAGTGAAAAGGGCGCGACTGTGCACGAGAGAAGCCCAGCTCATCCGCCGATCTTGAGTGCAGGATCTGCTCGCCATCACCAGCGCACGTGGTAATTAGCAACCTGTGGGGGCCTTGAATGTCCTCAGAACTTGTCTTTCGAGTGCACTTGCCTGCGCTAGCGGCTGGTAATCGATGAGATAAGGCAGAATTAGCGTTGATGATTCCGATTGAGCGTCGATTAGCGTCGATTTAGCGTCGATTGGCGTTGGCTAGCGCGGACGATCCATAGACAGCAAGCTGACACGGTGGCTCCCATACGTTGCCACTCGGGCAGCTCCGCCGCCGCGCCCTCGCCGTCGCTCCTCTCGTGGCGCAGCGTGTTTTTTTGTTGGTGTTGCCTGGAACGCTCGAGGCATCTGTTCCCGAACAGCGTTCCGCTCGAGGGTTCGAATACGGGCGAGACCCTCTGGATAGGACGCGGCCGATCGTTCCGGGTTGGATGACCCCCGTGGTGTCAGACACCAACGCCGAAGTCGGCACGACACGAACCGGCCGCACACGGGGACAACGATATCGGGGCGCGACGCACGGTCGGGAGCTGTGGCTCGGCGTGTCGCGCGGCCGCCGGTCGTGGCCCCCAGCACACCCCGGCGCGACACGCTGTCCGTGTCCTGGCCCCCGGGCGTCGGCGTCCCGAGCCCTCCCAAAGCCTCCCGCCCCGCGGAGCGGAGCGACACGCCATCCGCTCGCAGGGCACAGCGTGTCGCCGGGGCCGCCGCGGCGACACGCCAAACGCAGCAGTTCCTGACCGTGGTCGAGGGAGGAGGGACCACCCGGACCCGATGACTAGCGTCTACTAAGCGGCCCTGGGCGTGTATTGTTCTGCCCTGTTCGACTCCTTCTCTGGGGCGCGGTTACTGAACGTCTTCGCGTGTCGGGGTGGTCATGATGGGGGTGGTTTGTCTGACCTCTACGTAGGGCTCCGCTGGAGGATACGGATCATAGCTGAAAAAACACAGGACAGCCCGAGCAGAGACCGTCCGGTCCCGCAGCCGCGCCGCTTGAGAGAATTCCTGGCAAGTTGTTCTGGAGCCGTGCTCTCGCCTCGATGCCGGCTACACTTCTGGCCCATACGGCCACGATCCCTTCCCCAATTCACATCTATACATATATATACACACATATATATATATATGTGTGTGTATATATATATATATATCACCAGAGGAATACACCAATCAGTGGATGGTTTGCAATGGAATCGATAAAGAGATCGATAAGGCGACCGACTGGGAACCTGGGAACCTGGAACCGGGAACCCGGGAACCCAGCCGGCTACCAAATTCGGCGAGACATGTTCGCCAATCTTCATTGTTCTGGAACCGTGCTCTCGCCTCAATGCTGGCTGCACCGTTGGTACGGCCACGATTCCTTCCCCAAAATACACTACGGTGCACATGGCCGTGCTCTCACCCGTGTCCTGGCTATAGGAATATACTGGAGCACGCAAAAATGCATGTTTCTACTCGCCGGCCGCCCTGCGCCTCGACCCGCTTTTTTCACCCTTGCCAGTATTAGGGATTAGGGCGCTTCGCTGGGGTAAATCTTTGCACTCTGGCAAGACTGTTTGCACGGGGGGGGGGGGGCGCGGTGAGACCCGAAGGGGAATCTGGACTGCACGCAAGGAGGGACTCGCCTGCACGCCGTTTCGGCTTAGCGCTGCCTGACGTGGCGGCGGGGGGCCGGGGGGGCGAAGCGCCATGCACAGTCATTTATGGACATTTATCTTGTTGACAGTGCTTGACCTCCAGGCGGCTCTCACCTGGCACCGAAAGGCGTCTGGGAGGGAGGGAGGGAGGGATGAGAACCCAGCCCTGGGGAAGGGGCAGATCCCCGGGGGCCCACATTGCGAAGAGGTTCGGGGCTCAAGCGACGGGGGTCAATGCAAACGGGGATCAGCCAGAGCGCCGGACCTTGCAATATCCTGCAGAGCCAGGGTTGCAGTGACCCGGGCCTGCGCGCAGGATCCTGCAGGATCCTGCAGGATCTGGCAGGATTCGGGGAAAGAACAATGACATAAACATAAAGACTCGGAGGTCCGCGTGGATTTCTCGGATCGGCGCTGGGGCCCCCCTCCCTGGCGCGCTCCGAGTTTTTAAGTTTATGTCATTGCTCGTTCCCCTACGGATCCTGCAAAGCTTGATTGACTCTGGTTTGCATTGACCCCGGCCAGTGCGTTCCCGAGAGACGACGACGCTGGAGTTAAGGACCCTCTCCTCCTCTTCTCCTCCTCCTCCTCCTCCTCCTCGTCCTCCTCCCCCTCCTCCTCCTTTCTCCTCTCCTCCTCCTCCCCTCCTCCTCCTCCCCTCCTCCTCCTCCTCCTCTCCTCCTCCTCCTCTCCCTCCTCCTCCTCCTCCTCCCTCCTCCTCCTCTCCTCCTCCTCCCTGCTCTCCTCCTCCTCGATCCTCCTCCTCCTCTCCTCCTCCTCCTCCTCCTCCTCCTCCTCCTCCTCCTCCTCCTCCTCCTCCTCCTCCTCCTCCTCCTCCTCCTCCTCCTCCTTGATCCTCCCCCTCCTCCCCCTGGCAGCGGGGCCCCGGAAACCCCGAGTCTGGGGGGATCTCCGGGGCGCTCGGCGCGCGGCGTGGGCCCTTCCCCACAGGCCGCCGCCTGCCGCGCCCCTCCTGTGCGTGGCCCCGAATGCGGCGGAGAGGTTGGGCACCGCCTCGACACCTCCGGCCGGGTGCCAGACCGCCCAGAAGGTATGGGAGGCTTGGTCCCCGGCCAGATAGCCGCCCTGCTCCTCCAGCTCGGGCGGCAGTTCGGCGCCTGCCTCGCCAGCTCGAGGCGCCCCTAGGGTGCCGCCTCGCGGCGGCCAGCGGCCAGCAGGGGAGCGCAGGGTGCCCGAGGTCGCCCAGCGCCGCCAGCGCGAAGAGGCCCAGCGCGTTGAGGTGCGCGCAGCCAGTCGCCGCCGCCCAGCGCCGGCGCCGCCGCCCGGCCCCCCGCCGCCGCAGCCCGGCCAGTTCCCGCAAGCGCCCAGCGCCCGCCTCCGCCAGCAGCGTCGCCGCCCCGCGCAGCGTCCCCCGCTGCCGCCGGCGCCAGCGCCGCCCGCGCCGCCGCTGCCCAGCTGCCTGGCCCGCCTAGCGAGTCGTCGCCCTGCTCAGCGCCTGCGCCGCAGACCCGCGGGCGCGCGCCTAGCTAGCGCGCGGGCGGCGCGCCGCCGGCTCGCCGCCGCCGGCCCCGCGGCGCACCGCCCCGCGCGCAGCGAAGCAGGCGGAGCGGAGCGCCTCGGCGCTGCCACGCTGAAGGGTCGCCGCGAGGCTCTGGCGCGCCGACGCGAGCGCCTCCGCGTCTCCGCGCGCCCAGGTGCGCAAAAGCGCCTGCGCCTCCTTTCCGGCGCGCTCGAGGGCCTCCAGCGCGAAAGCCGTCAGCGCTGGGCCCGGGTAGCGCGCGTGCTTGCGCTCCACCCAGGCAACGGCAGCGGCGCCGTTCTGGGCGGCGCGGCCCCGGCCCGCCGGCGTGTTCGCGCCGATAGAGGCGCCAGTAACCACCACGTCGACGTAGGCAACGCCGACCGTGGGGTCTGTGAAGGCCACGTCGAGGCGAGCGGCGTGCCGTCGGGGCGCGCGCGGTCCCAAGCGGGCACGCTCCGTGGCCACGCCTGTCGCGCCGCGGGCGCCGAGCCAGCGGGCGAGCCAATCCCGGACGCCGTCGTGGCGCTGGATCGTGCCGCCGCCGACGTGGCAACCCAGGCAGTGCCCCACCGTCAGGTCGGTCCCGCAGCGCGTGCTGTCCTCCCTGCACCAGCAGCAGGTGGCGCTGGCGGTCGCTGGCAGGGGCAGCTGGAGGCGCAGCGCGAGGGCTGGGAGGAAGTGCGCGTCCGCCAGCACGTGGTCCTCCGCAGTCGGCGGCTGGAGCCAGCTCCCCGCTCCTTTCCGCTGGCCGAGCGTAGCTGCGCTGCCCGGTCTGGTGGCAAGGAGCCGCTGCCCAGGAGCCGCTGCCGGCGCGCGTGCTGCTCCGGCGCAGCGAGGGCGCGGTGTGCTTTCGCCTGTGGCTCCGCGGCGGCCCACAGCCAGGTCGCGCCGCGCACCTGGAGAGCGCGGCCCTCCTCGTCGTCCTCCTCGTCGTCCTCCTCTTCCTCCTTGTCCTCCTCCTCCTCCTCCTCCTCCTCCTCCTCCTCCTCCTCTCTCCTCCTCCTCCTCGTTCCTTGATCCTCCCCCCTCTCCCGATCCGCAGCCAATCTGGCTCAGGGTGCCCTGCTCTCCCGACGCGGGGGGGCCGGGGCGCCGCGCGGGCACGCGCGCGCGGCGAAGGGCGGGTTCCGCGTCAGATGGGACCTGCCGCTCTGGTGGCGGGGCAGGCTTGCAGGAGTCCAGCAGGAGGAGGAGGAAAGAGGGATCAAGGAGAGGAGGAGGAGGAGGAGGAGGAGGAGGAGGAGGAGGGAGGAGGAGGAGGAGGAGGAGGAGGGGGAGGAGGAGGAGGAGGAGGAGGAGGATCGAGGAGGAGGAGAAGGAGGAGGAGGAGGAGGAGGAGGAGGATCGAGGAGGAGGAGGAGGAAGAGGAGGGAGGATCAGGGAGGAGGAGGAGGAGGAGGAGTCGATTCCTCTGATTCGATTCGATTCGATTCGATTTCGATGGATGCAGATTCCGATCCGATTCGACATCGGATTCGGATTTGGCTGTCGCTTCCCCAACGAGGCCTTACCACTCTGCCGATTTCCGCCGACTCGACTCCTCCCGACTTGGCTGCCGATTCCGCCGATCCGATTCATGTTGATCGCCGGTTCGACTTATCGATTCGATTGTCGGCTTTCCTGCAGGAGTCGGGCGGCTTCGCACGGGGCCAGGACGAGGGAAAGTCCGTTCCATAGTGGTCCGGAGAAATCTCAGAGCGTTCCGGGACGGTCTGAGCAGGCCGCGGCGCCCGAGGCATCTTCCAGAGCCGCCGGATCTCAGAGATTCTAGGTCTATCGCTACCCGACGTTATTCTCGTCCTGGCTTCGTCTTGCGGTTGGGAAAGTCGAAGAATCACAAACTGTGCAAAAATCAGTTGTCGGCCCACCGAAATCGGCCCGGAACCAGTCAAAGGGAACTGGGGACCCCGGAGCCAAGAACCTGGGAACCTGGCCGCCTACCGAAATCGGCCCGGAGCTTTCGCCGAATCTTCAATATCCGCTAGGACCCCTTTCAGTGCAAGCACTGACTGGGGAATAAGGAACAGTGGCCAAGACACACTCCTAGATAGCAAGCCGTCTAGCTCTCTCCCGCCCGCCCTCCCAACACATAAGTAACACGCGAGCCTCAGCATACAGCGCTCGTCTTGGATGGGCAGCAATTGAGAACCAAAACCGACCCTATGTGCGCGACGCTGGGGCCCGAGCGTGCCAGGCACGTCTGGTGCACCAGATGCGCCACGTGCGCCAGGTGTGCTGCATACTCCAGCCGCGCCAGATGCGCCACGTTCGGGGCACGTGCAGAGTGTGTCAGGTGCGCCTCCGCACGAAACACAGCAGACATCGGGAAACACGTCGGCCCTCACCATCCTTGTCGAAAACCAATGCCCATCATTGTGTCTGGTGGGCCTGCGCACAGCAGGCCATACGCCACCACCCACGCCGTCCCTGTCAAAAAACCACTTCGCAGTGAACGCGGGGCGGCTGCGCATGATCCAGATTTCTCTTCGCGAGGTGAATGTCGTTTAATTTTTTGATAGGGGCGGCGGCCCGGCGCACAGCAGACAATATGCTCACACGCCCGCCTTCCTTTTCCTTGTCCAAAACAATACAAAGTGTTCGTGGGTCTCACGAACATGATTCAGGACTTGGCCCCCACTTGTGTACTTTGTATTGTTTGTTGACAGGGATGGTGGGGGGGGCCCATCGTGTTGGTTGCGCATGCTCCGGATGTGGAGACAGAGTGCGTTTTTTTTCTGACAGGGATGGTGTGGGTTGGGGGGGAGCATGGTGTCCTCGTTGTTCTTGGTTGTCTGCAGGTCGCCTGGGGGAGGGGGTGCATGTTTACATGGGGCAGTGATGCACCCCTCCCCGAAGGGGCAGGAAGGAGTTTGTGGGCGAGGAGGGGAAGACATCGTCAGACCACCTGCGCCCAGAGGGTTGGCGGGAAGGGCTGTTGTTCACGGGCGGGCGTTCGGCAGCAGAGCGCGCCGCCGGGAGAGCGGGGTGCCCGAGGGCGCTGCGGTCGTGGGCCGAACACACGCGCGCACACACACACGCACGCACGCACGCACACGCACAGGCACAGGTACAGGCACACGCACACACACACACACACAAACACACACACACACACACACACACACACACACACACACACACACACACACACACACACGCACACACGCACACACGCACACACGCACACACACACACACACACTCACACACGCACACACGCACACACACACACACACACACACGCACGCAACTCTCCGTGGAGTTGTGCTCTGCGGGCGGAGGGGTTCGAGGTTCTGCTCAGCAGCGACCTGCGTCCCGGGGCCCGTAGGGCTCCGCGCCCCGTGGTGTCGGGGCGTTGAGGCCTCGCGGGGGGGCTGCAGTCCAGGCGCCGGGAGGACCACCTCTGGGGCCGAAACAAAAGGAGGGGATAGGGAAAGGGGGGGTTGCGAGATCTGCTTTGTGCAGCTGGTTTCGGCCCGCCGCGGGGCCCATTCCTCGATGCATGGGCGCCTCCCGGCGCCCAGAGGCGCTGGGAGAATCAGCTTCGTGAGATGATTCTCTGCCATGCCCTTTGCTATCCCCCCCTCTCGCTCTCCACGAGGAAAGACCATTTTGGGATGCGGGAAAGGTCGGGGCGGAGGACAGAGCCCCCACCCAGACACGTCGATTAGTGAATTGTCCATTTTCGGTTCTCGAGAGGGCGCCGCGCCCATCATTTTCCAGGTTTGCGCCCGCCAGGATTGGGCCCGAGGTCGTTTTCACTAAACCACGTTCTACTACAGGGGGTTCTGTCCATCCCCGAAAAGGGCTCTGGTCTGTCGGTCCGTTTCTTGGGCCTCGGAGCGCACTCGTGGCCGAGGCCCACCGTGGCCAGAGAAGAAGGCCCCAACGCTGATCGGCGGCAGCCCGACCCCAAGAAGGACGAACAGCAGACCGACCACGACGACGACCACGACGACGACGACGACGACAGCGACGACGACGACGACGAGCGAGAGCGAGAGCGAGAACGAGAGCGGCAGCTCTCTCTTCATCTCGCGTTCTCTCTGGTCGCACAGTGCCTGCACCTTGGGGACCTGTTGGGGCCAGGCCCGACTATAGCTGCCCCCATGGGCTGTCGCTGCGCGACGCGAGACCTCGCCAGCGCCAGCGTCGTCCATGTGATTCCGGTCCTCGCTGGCCACGTCACGTCCGGGGGCCCCAAGTCGGCGTTGCTGGCGAGGCCATCAGGGCGGACACTCAAGTCCTGGGCCCACAGTATCTCCAGCCAGGGTCAACGCGGGCGGGCGGATGCCTGCGGATAGCCGGCCTGGCGTCCCCCCGAGGAGACATCGCCATCCGCTCCGCCGCCACCTCTTGCATTATGTTGACCGCCTATGACACCGCTAGTGATCAGGATGACGACAGGAGCAGGATGTCCGAGAAGATTGCTGACATGGATCTGGACTATCAGGACGCCTGGCCCAATGTGGAGGTCACCATAGCCATCAACGAAGTCCTGCAGCTGGACATCAAGGAAATGACTTTTGAGGCGGACTTTGCGGTGTATTTGGACTGGGTGGACCCCAGACTGAAGCCAGGAGTGCACTACGACTACAACGCGGAAAAAGGCAAGTTCGAGTTGGCGCCAACTTTGCAGAAACAGCTACTTGAGGACAGAGGCAGCTACAGCGTGTTCAATCCGTTTCTAGAGATCGCTAACGAGAAGAAGCTCGAGAAGAAGACCTCGCCAGCTATCTCCATCGTGGATGAGCAGACCGAGGACGGGAAAGATGTCCCCTGGCTCTGCAAGAAGTTCGAGTTCATTGGAGCACTGCACTGCCCACAGGTCAATGCCAGAGTGTTCCCTTTCGACGTGCAGGGTCTGCAGATCAAGGTCCAGTGCGCAGAGCTGGAGGGCGTGACGTCCCTGGGCCAGCCTCGCACGATCACGCTCCTGGAGCCGCGCCTGCGCCGGGCGACGCGGCAGCGGGAGAGGCTCCGCTCGAGGAGGGCCCGGATGCGGATGATCTGGGCCGACACCTCCGACGAGAACCAGTGCATGAGCCACATGTGGCGGTTGAACGACGAGGATCGGATTAGAAAGCACGTTGGCCAGCTCTAGGCCTCCTAGATGGGGTCGGAGTATATAGGGTCGGAGGATCGCGCCGCATCGCCGATGCATCGCCGATGCGGCTCGATGCGGAGCCCGATTTTCTCCACGCCGACGTCGCCGATGCATCGCCGACGTCGGCGATGCATCGCCAGTGCATCGCCGATGCATCGCTGATGCATTGTCGATGTATCGGCGATGCGGAGCGATCCTCCGACCCCATCTACTCCGACCCCATGTAGGAGGCCTTTACCAGAGTGGATCCCAAGCAGTGCGTTATCGCACCGTGGCGGTGGAGCTTGTGTGGTGTAGGGTATGTGGTGTAGACTCCTGTCGTGCAAGGAGCTATGGAGGTGAGAGCTATTCGGCGCAAGCCATGCGATGTAAGCTAAGTCGTGTAAGGTAGGCGGTGTGAACTGGAGGTGCACGTTATGGGGTGCAAGCTATGGGATGTAAGATGTGCTGGATCGTATCGAAGACGCCTGCGGTGAATCACCGCCGCCCCCCTGCCTTTTTGGAAGTGCCCGTGTGGCCGAAAGTTAGGCTAGAGCTTGGTCAAGCTATCGAACCGTGTGTGTTTAGCTAAAACCCGTCGGGGAACACGTGAGGAAGGGGAGAATGAGGAGAAGATGGAAAAGGGAGGAGGAGGAGGAGGAGGAATAGAACGAACGAACGAACGACTCTGCAGGGGTGCGCCAGCACGGGTCACGCGCACATCACCGATTAAACAGAGTCGGAAAATTCAACGGAATGATTGACAATCACAGCTAGAGTGCGCCATGGCTCCCACATTTGTGAGAACCACGCGTGGCCTCGTGGCACGATGCTCCCAGCCACCCCCTTTCACGGCTGGGCTGCCAACGTTTTAAAGACGGCAGGGCCGAAGGGTCGTGGCGAAATTGGGTGTTGGAAGAAATCAAAGCACAGGACCCCTCCGTCAACGCGTTGACCACGAGCAGGAAGGACCCCCAGGAAGGCCAACGCGTTGAAAGAGAGGGGAACCATTCTTAATCGAATTCGAGAACTCCTCGCTGCTTCGACAGGGTTTACAGCATTGAAAACTCAGGCGGCCCCAGGAACCAAGGGAGACAACAACTTCCTTCGGCCTGGGGGCCAGCCCAACGAGACTTAAGACTCTGCTGAAGGGGGAGATTTTGACTGGAGGAGGAGGAGGAGGGAGAGGACATATTTGGCGGCATAGCTGGGGCAGTAGTGAAGGGGTCCGCTGGAGAACGCGACGCGCCCGAAGCCGTGGGAGTATGTCCAGTCACACTCGTGCTGAGGAGGAATAGGAGGAGAAGGAGGAGGAGGAGGAGGAGGAGGAGTAGGAGGAGGAGGAGCACGGTGGCGAGGAGGAGGAGGAGGAAAGGAAAGGAAGGAGGAGCAGTAGACCTCTTGAGAGCCTGTTGGGGCACTCTTGGGATCGCCTGGTAGCTTCCTGGGAGCCTCTTGGAGACCTCTTGGCCGTCTGCTTCGGCCTCTTGGTGGCCTTTGGGGTCTTGCTCGGGGCCTCCTTGGCCATCTTAGGGCGTTCCTGGGTCGTCTGACGCCGTCGGGAGCAGTCTTGGGGGCCTCTCTGGACCGTCTTAGGGCCCTCTTGGGGTGCTTCAGGGCCGTCTTGGAGACCACCTTGACCGTCATGAGGCCTCTTGGGCCTTCTTTGGCCCCCCTCTGGGCCGTCTTGGGGGCTTTTTGGGCCTTCCTGGGGCCATCTCGGAGGCCCCCTTTCTGGGAACGATCTTGGGGGTCTCGTGGACCGTCTTGGGCCGTCGAGAATAAACACATGCCATAACCTTTCCAATACCTAAGGGAAATCAGTGATGTTGGCCTTCTCGGGACCTCCTGGAGGACCTCTTGGAGGCCTCTTGGGGCCTCTTGGAGGCCCCTTGGGGCCTCTTGGGGCCTCTTGGAGGCCTCTTGGAGGCCGTCTTGGAGGCCTTTTGGGGCCTCTTGGGCCGTTGGGGGCCGTCTTGGAGGCTTCCTGGGCAGACTTGGAGCCATCTTGGACCCTCTCGGGCCGTCTTGGAGGCCGTCTTGGGCCATCTCGGGCGAACTTGGATGCGATTCGGGCAACCACCCGGGCATGTTCGGCAGCCTTCCTGGTCGTTTTGGGAAAGAACCAAAAACAAGCCATATAGGGTCTAGCACGTCAGGCACCCCTTGTGGCAAGCCAACAGGGGGCGGCGGATCGAAGACGCCTACTTCGAATCACCGCCGCCCCCTGCCTTTGTGGAAGCGCCTATGTGGCCGAACGTTGAGGCCAGACCTGCCAAGCTATCGGACCATGTGTTCCCCGAATCGGGTTGGAAAGCCTTCGGGGAACACGTGGGCATCTTGAAGGTCATCTTGGCCGCCTGGAAGCCATTTTGACTCTTTCGGGCCTTCTTGGAGGACGTCTAGGGCTCGTGGGCCGTCTTGGAGGTCATCTTGGGCGTTTTGGACGCCTCTTGGGCCGTCTTGGGGGCCTCTTGGGGCCGTCTTGAGCGCCTCTTGGGCCGTTCTGGGGCCATCTTGGAGGCCTCTTGGGCGATCCTTGGGCGATCTTTGGGAGCTCTTGGGCCGTATCGGGCCGTCGGAAGGCCGAAACGAAGCAAATGTCAAAATCCTTCAAAAACCTTAGGAAACTAGCCACCTTCGACCATCTTGGTGGGCTCCTGGCCCGTCTGACGCCGTCGGAAGCCGTTTCGGGGGCCTTTCTGGGCCGACTTGGGGC